ACTAATTTTTTTAAAGTATGATAACCATTATCGATTTTGTCGAATTTTTCGAAAAGTTTGAGCTATGGGCTGGGAATTGGCACAAGGGGGTAAGTGAGCATGCTGATTACAAAAGCAATATTAGTCTCCAGAATTATTGTTTTTTTCAATCGATTAACGACTGTAAACCTGTTACTGGGCTGGGAATTTGACACAAGGGTAAGTGAGCATTCTGATTAAGAATACAGAGGAGGGGGGGGGGCGTACGGAGGGGGGATCGGGACAGGGAAATGTCGTAAGGAACTAAGGCATGAAGATATTTGTCGTAGGTATTTATATTTATTTTTTATATTTTCTTAAAGGTATTTATCATTTACCGAAAATACTTAGAATGTCTATATATACTTTAAGCAAAATTTACTTACTAAAAAGGCATAACCTTCCTTTTACCTCGACATTGTGAAAGGACAGATTGCGAATAGAAAGGAATCCTTCGATTGAATCAGAGGAGAGGTAAGTTTAGTGTAAAGCTTGCTACCTCATGTGGTCATTTCCAAAAAATTAGAACAAAAATATAAGGGTCAGACTGAAGCAGTCTATAAGGACGAGTTGGAGGTATCTGAGTGGTAAAGTAAAAGGGATGGGAGGAAAAGGCTATATCAAAGGCTATCTAGATTTTATTCCATTCGAGGCCATGTTTCAACGAAAATAGACTAAAAAATTTTTGAAAATTTGGTGTGAGATCGATGCAACAATCTTGAGTTATGAGCCTAAGCATCCAAACTCTTCCATTCATTTCAAAACCCGGACTAAACGACGAGAAGTAACATGATTCTTTATTTTATTCAGCCTTGAATACGATACTCTCCTTACCGATGAAGTTTTGATTCGTTACAAAGAGAAAAATACTGCCTTTCGTTAAAAAATCCTATAATTCCCGCCCAGGTCATTAGCTTTGTGGTGAGATGAGGGTGCACGGAAAATATGATAACTTTGCAAATGCAACAGCAAAGTACTTGAACTGTTGGAATAATTTGATATAAGAAGTAAAAGCAAACCCATAGTCTATTAATTTGCCATAATGTCAACATAATGGATAGTAATGGAATATCTATGCACTGGAACCTTTTACGTGAAAGTAATCCAGGCTGAGATGTAGGCTCATAGAACCGTTATTTTGTCTTTGTGCCAAGAATCCGGTAACTACTTCAGAGATTTCCGTGGTTTGTAGAGAGGTCATTGATAAGGCGCAAATCGGAATTTCTTAAAACCAACATTTGTTTTTTGGTCGAACAACCGTCTCACAAAATAACATACCCCCAGCTTCCTGAGTGGAGATGGATATTTGATTTTTCCTCATATCAGCAGGTACAACAGATGCATCCAATTCATTCAATTTATATAAGAAGGCTGAAACAGGAAACAAGCTGAAACAGCACTAAATTTATAACATGTGCGTAAATGAACAGGAAAACAATGTTATCTTAATAGTTTGGAAACTGGTACTTATACCTTAATCTGCTATATAAGCAACTTCAAAAGTTCTTGACAGGTTCTCTATGAGATGAGAAAGTGACTTGCGATGGCAAAAACAAAAACAACGATTATTTTCTGAGTTTGATTGGTGCATAAGCTTGCACCGAGAACTTGAAGGAATTAGTTGCAACTGTATGGAACTTTTAAGTGAGATTTCTTGATCATAAGACATTTACTGGTTTCTTATCTAAACTGTAGATTTTCTAAAGAATGCACTCATCGAAAAAATCATAATTGTAATTATTCATAGAACTCAATCAACAAGAAGTTTACTCGGCTAGATAAAGTAAACAGATCGTGAAGTCAACGATAAAATTGAAACAGGACTTTCTTGGTGCCTTAGAAAATTTATTGACGAATACGAAAAAACAAAATTCAAGGTTCTTCTTTATCAACTTCATCGCTAGTTCCGAAAAACGGGTTTTTTTTT